CGTGCTTGCGGCATTTGCATTGAACCCACGCCTGTCCGTGCGGCAAGTCGCAAGACAACTTGGCATCAGTAAAAGTTTCGTCTGGATGGTGATCCGCCGACAAATGTATCCGTACAAGCCACAGGTTCTGTTCGAGCTGCAGCCAGATGACTATGAACGGCGAAAGCAGTTCTGCGTGGACGAACTTGGGCGCATCTCCACAAACAGGAACCACCTTCCGTTTCTGCTTTTCACGGACGAAGCTATTTTTTATCTGGATGGGCACGTGAACAAGCAAAACACCCGCTGCTGGTCCGAGACGAACCCCCACTGGATCATTGAAGAGGCTATCCAGTCACCAAAGGTCGTAGTATGGTGTGGACTTTGGAGGGAAGGCGTTGTCGGTCCATTCTTTTTTGAGGGCACGGTCACCGGCGACGCCTACCTTCGCATGCTCGAACAGGACGTCTTGCCGGAGCTGGAAGCTTCGCACATGCAAAGGGAGGTGTGCATCTTCCAGCAAGACGGAGCACCACCGCATTACGCCATCGCAGTGAGAGACTGGCTTGACAGAACCTTTCCCGGCAACTGGATGGGTCGAGGGTCACCGACAATGCCCTGGCCCCCACGGTCCCCTGACCTGACAATTTGTGATTTTTTTGTTTGGGGTTTTGTGAAAGCCCAGGTCTACGCAGTTCGCGTACGCTCGATGACGGAACTAAAAGAGCGGATTATATCCGCCTTCGATGCGATCACGGACAACATGCGGGAGGCAGCCTTCAGGGATTATGAGCGAAGACTGCACAAGTGCCTCCAAGTTCGAGGTGGACATGTGGACTGAAGACAACGAGAACTGAAGATCACATATCTATCCATTTTGCACATATGACCAGCGGCTTTGACAACCGCGAAAACCGCGGGCTCCTACTGACAGGCTCTTTTCAGAGCCATTAATTGCTGTTTATCTGGAGCTTGCTTTGGCAGCCTCCCGTGTCTCAAAAGTGCATGCGGTGTAAATAGCATCCAAAGTGACGCATGGTGGCTGTCTCTCCACCAACCGCGGCAAAACAAAACAAAAAAATGGTCTCGGAAGCAGCGTCCAAGGATGCAACCGACCAGCGAAAGAAAGCAGACGACACGCAGACGAAATCCGCCGGCAGCAAGAGCGCCGTCAGCGTTGTCGTTATGCAACCGCGTTTTCTTTTATTTTTGTTACTTGAAGTTTTTCTATCATTGTCTGCATTTATTTTCACGCCAAAGGTAGATTACAAAACCGATTATGTTGGTGTCAATAAACCACGGTCGACGCGGGCACTTTCGATATTTCATTGAAAGCAAACCGAAACCAGAACTCTGACGGAAACAAGGAGGTAGCGCCATCTATCAATAGGAGTGTCAAACACACCCCGCACCTTGACTTGGTCGTCTGCGTCGCCTCCCGCCGTTGACCCAGGCAAGTTTCTTGGCCTTATTTTTTACAGAAAGAGAACTACGCTTTGTAATTCTACAAGAAAAAACCGACCTATGAAATACACCTTTGACGAAAAGTTTGAGGGGCTACGGGCAGGCGTCGATTTTTACGGTCCATTTTAGATCGAGCCTGGCGACTTTAGCCACCCTATACTTATGTCATATTGATCGATAATATTTTCAATGAGGTTTCCTCTTTGGTCACAATGAGAGCTACCCCATAGTGTGTGGTGGGCATTAAAATCTCCACACATAACGTAGGGAGCAGTAAGTCGTTTGAAGAACGAGTTAAATTCAGCGCTTGTCATCGAAATTTGTGGCTCTATGTAGATGCTCACAACAGTAAGTGTCATCCGTCCTACGCGTACTTGACAGGCAACATACTCTGGCACATCCGAAGTCGAGGAAAAAAGAAGTGTTGAGACTAAATCTTTTCGTATTCCGAGTAAACAGCGACTAGGACCTCCTGGTCGCGTAGATTTGTATAATACATAGTTTGCCAGTCGAAAAGAACTATCCACACGGGCCTCAGATATTGCAAGTATTGGGAAACAAAACTGAGCAACGAATTGTCTGAAGTCCCCGCTTTTGGTTCGTAGTCCGTTCGCGTTCCATTGAAATATTGATGTGCGTTTATATACGTCAGTCATCAAAATGCCCACTCACCGTTAGGCATGTAGACTTAATAAGCGGTTCCATCGTTAGCAAGGCTCGAACTTCTGGTAGATCATTGGCGTTAGGCAGCGCGTTAATGATTGCCTTGAGTGCAGCAAAAAGCATTGGAAGCACAAGTTGGCCAATGTCTACACGTTGTTCTTGTCTATTTCTCCGCGGAGCAGATGAAGCGGATACTGGTTGACTGCAGTTAGTTCTTGTGATCGATGTTCCTGGGACATTTTCTTTGGTAGGCACTTCCGCTGTGCTAGATAAAGCAGTTCGGTGGGCGCAGCTGCACGAGCCGTGAAGTTGCGATTTGCCATCACTAATTTTTTCCTTGTTTGTTTTCGATGTGTCCTTCACAGCATCGCGGTATGTGACCTTTTTGGCTGCCGTGTCGTTCAAGCTTTTCAAGCACGGCGGGGGACGCACAACTTCTGGGTTCAAGATCGGCGCTTTAGTGCGGACTTCTCTACCGTTCAGAAGCTCTCTTTTACGTGTGGTTGAGGCAGCCTTCTTGATTGGACAACCAGCAAATGCGGCAGAGTGTCCTCCGCCACAATTTGCACATTTCGGCTATTGTTTGGAGGTGCATTCCTTGTGGTTGTGGGCACCTGCACACACCTTACAACGGGTTGGGCCACGACAAAAATTTGCTATATGACCGTACCTTTGACACTTAAAGCATTGCACTGGAGGTCCAAAGTACTCGTCTACCGGGTGGCTTGTGAACCCCAGCAGAATTCTTTGGGGCATTGCACGATCTGGACGAAAGTGCAGGAGGACGCTCTCTGTTTTCCGTGAAACAGTGTTACCGTCGTCTTGTCTTCGGTAAGACACTTGGCGTTGAACGGAGATGACTCCGAAATCTTTTAGATATTCCAGTAATTCATCGTCAGAATACTCCAGAGGTACTCCCTTGATCTTGCCAAGGTTCCTGGAGTACGAGTTAGGCACACTCGTTGTCACTTCAATGGCGGAAAGGGATGTCACAGCAAGGAGCCTGTTTGCCGATTAAAGTGAAGCGACTGAAACAGTCATGCTGCCATCCTTGTTGATTCGATGGGAGAGAAGTTTTTCCTTTGTGATGTTAAGAATCTCGTTGGCTATTGTGTTAGGATTCACTCTCCAGAATGACTGCTCACTTGTGATTGGTTTGAACACCACCGGTATTCCAGCAGGGCGATCTTTCTTGTACGATACCAGAGTGAATGGAGTTTTGTCTTCATCCACTTCAATGGCGTCGTCTACTGAGTAGCATGTAGTTTTATCGTCGTCAGATAACTCATCTTCATGATCAGTCCGCGGTGTTTTAGCGGGGCATGCAGTCTGTGCGCCGGGAGTAATCGCTTGGGTTCCCGCTGCAGTAGTACTTTTAATGGGAGCTGTGGACTTTGACAGACCTTGAGATCCGTCCTCGGAGTGTCTTGGAGAAGGTTGAGCCATGTTTCGGGTCTCCTGACCATCAACTATGAACCCAGTTGTTTCATGCAGAGTCGATGGTACATATCCTAGGGATGGGCACCGCCCCCGGTAGCTCACCGTTGGGTGCAGGTCAAGCAGTCGACGGCGAGTATCACGATGAACACAGATGTGGTCTGGATATAGCCGCCAAGTCTTGCCTAAAGGTATTTCAAGAGGAGCCAAACAGAAATCGTTCCGATTCAGCACACGTCGTCTTCGAACTTATATGAATTCAGTGTATATGTACTTGATATGTATGATGTGTTATATGTATATGATGTATTGTATATGTACTTTAATGCTCGCTGCATACCAAGAGGGGGCTGAGGCCTTGTCAGGCATTCGTACCTTTAGCCTTAGACCCCCTCTGCGAAACATCTGTCCACAGACACAAATAAAAAAAAAATTATTCAGGCGAATAGATTATAAGCCCGTAGCAGACGACGCGTGACCTCAACAGTGCACTGCGTTGCGCCAGAAGGGCGGCCGTCTTCCCTTTGCTCTCATCTTCCTCTCTCGTCCCTTTCGTTCACGTTCCTCCTCTCCAGCGTCTTTGTCGCCAAACCCACTGGCCAGACCCTCCCAATATACGGCTCTGGCTGCTTGGTTAAAATGAGCGAAGCAGAATGTCTAGGCCTTAAAAAGTAACTTTGGAGACGATCGACAATTTGGTTTCCTCCTATCAGTTTGTATTGTGAACACGGCCCATGGACCACGTGACATAGATGGAGCAGTTCGAAGCACGTTCGAATCTAATAACGAATTCCACTGGTCGTTTTGGAGCGCGCCGGAATCGACTTTTCTGGAGCGAGCCTATTTCACTGGGCGATCGGAATCGAGACCGACGTGTTTCACTGGTCGTTTTGGATTAGCTCCCGCTCCAGATCTCGATCTGGATCCGAGAAAAGTCGCTCCCACGATTTCGGCGGATTCAACCGGAAGCCAGCCGGGCCAGCCCTCGGCGCACACGCGTGACTTCCTTTCCCGTGGGGCATCTCGCCTGATCTCGCCCATCTTGCCTCAGAAGAAGCACGTCGCGGGCTGGGCTTCTAGATTGTCTCGAGATCAGAATTCGTAATGGCCGCTTGCTTACCCCTTTGCTCCACAGCGAGTTCGTTTTCCAGGAAGGGGAAGAGAATGTATTTGCCGCGTTACGGGCATTCCGGCAATCTTTGCTAGAAGCGCCTGAGCCATTCCTGCCTTCGAAACGACCGCGGCGGCCGCGGAAAGGAGATTCCCGTGCAGTTGAATGACGGGAAGGCATCCGCCGATCCCGGAGCAGTGGTCGTGTTCCACTGGGGATCCGTAGGCGGCGCGACCCCGTTCGGATCGTGTGCTCCAGTCCGGATCTGGTCAACTGATCCCGGCGCGCTCCAAAACGCCCAGTGAAATTCGCCATAAGCACTCTAGTTAAATTTGGGGGAACTTACCTTTCCCACCATGTGCGTCCTGTAGCCTAGTTTTCTGAGGTACTGGGGAAGAATCTGGAAGTTCACTGGCAACCCTCCCGGTTGGCCAGGAATGCGAACGTCGTGCTGTAACCCTGCGGAAGACATTCACAATGATGAGGACAGCGAACGCAGCGTAGTGGCGCAGAACGTGCGTCTTTCATTGGCCGACAAGCAGGAACTCGATGTCTGCGACCAATCAGCGAATGTGTGCGCTGAGTCATGAGCTACGCTCAACGCTGGAGCGTAACAGCGTTTAGTGACCTCAAACAGCTATTAACCTCACTCTTAAGAAAAATATTTGTTTTTTTATATATTTTGTTTTCTGTTTAGCATTGTGCATGATGCATATGCCAAATGACTGCAATCTACGTTCCGTAGATCGCAGTCATTTGGCATATGCGCATCACGACAAGCTCAGGAAAGAAACTATTAAATTTGCTTTACGCAGGTACAATGATGAGAGTACATCATGATTATCATGCCGACAGATATTGCATTTTGGAGGCAAGGCGATTTTAATGCGAAAGACTTACTTGTTCCATTACGCGAAAAGTCGTCGGTGTTGTACCCGAACGATGGCCGTAAGAATACGGTATCAAGCGCACGCCTCAGAAACAAAAAACACAAAGAGTAGCAAAGCAACGCAGATGCTTCGTCACGCAAGCCGTCGTGAAGCCGGCGGGGTAGAAGTTCGTTGGAGCATCTCCAAAAGCGAGCTGCCAAGATAGTGACGACATCATGGAAAGACTACGTCACTCTTCTAACCGTCATTGCGGGTAGGGCTTAGGGCGATCTTTTTGCGCACAATATTAATATCGGGAGTAAAAACACAAAAAAACTAATCGATTAATACCTAACCAACTATTACCTTTTTCACAAATACTGTTAATTGGTCACGCCTCTGATAGTAGTTGGCGCCAAGACTGCAATTGCAACATAAGCCATTAAACCATTATTTAAAATTTAATGAAAAATTTGTTTAATAAACCGACTAACTATTACGGTTATTACCTTATCTAATATCCGCCGAGCCTGACACTCAAATGGCGAAGACGGCCCCCGTGTAACTCCCACCTCTTATCAAGCACGCTTTCTCTAAAAATAGTAGTGAGTTCGGAATTCGAGACATGTTCTGTTTGCCTCCAGTGTGTTCCGAAGCCTAAAATAGCACACATGTTGTGACCTCAGGAACGTGACGTGTCCGCCGCAAATAGTGGAGCGTTTTTTTGTTTTTGTGTGTGTGTTTTTTGTTTCATCATTATGCTGCTTTTGGTAGCACATGTTCTATCAAAACACATTGAAGTCCAACTGAGAAGCGACATCACCGTTATCATTTCGCATCGGTGAAAAGCTGTCCGGACTGAATTGTTTTTATATCCGGACATACGGCAGACGAGGCCGACGCGCAGTCCGCATTCCCAAACTCGGGAAGCAGACAATGCAGGCCTGCGTTCGTCGGGAGTTACCTGGGCAGAAGTAGAGTAATGTTAATTAAAATGCCTCTATCATTACGTAACGCAAATAGGAGACAGATGCATGACAGTCAGGATAAAGTCCGCTTCAAGTGACTAAAATTTATTTTCCAAATAGCGTTCAAAACCTCGCGCCAGCGTCCTACACCGTTGACGCTATACATGATGATTGAAACCTGAGACTGTGGTTCGAAAAACGGAAACTCGTGAAGTAGGAAGAAAAAGGGACAGACGTTGAGACGTTGTCTGTCCCTTTTTCTTTCTACTTCAAGAGTGTTCCGTTTTTTAAACCACTGTCTCAGGTTTCAATCATCGTGTATAACTTACACCAGCTAACCTGCACTTTAACCGTTTTTTTTGACGTTGACGTTTAGCTTGCGTACGCCGGCATGCACGGCCTACAAAGCGGGAGCCTGGAGGCATGGTCGGAGAGAATCACCTTTAAAAAATAATTTCTCAGCAACAAAAAAGAAAAGAATACCTCTATAATTTCTCGATATGTTTAACAAACGAGTTTGGTTTAACTTTTGGCTATTTCGAAAGTTCCAAGCGCAGCCGACCACACTGCTTTTTCTGGATCTCATTATGGCCTTCTCCTGATAAACCGGAGATTTTGACATTTAATTAATACGAAACAAAACGAGCATCTGAAAATTTTTATACCAACAATTCAATTATTTGTTTTGAGAGAAAAGAGCAAAACGTATTGTAGCTAACGCACAAAGTCGAAGGTGACTAAAAAAAATATAAAGAAATCTCATAAAGTCTCTATTTTCTTGAGCTTCTATTTGAACACAAAATTGCGTCTTTCAATGTTCGTATTTTAGTGTAAAATAGGGCATATTATTAAGTACTTAGGTGCGCACCTAAATTTGTGTGGTACGCATCGTTTGTTTAAATTGTTTTGATTTTTGTCACTACATGGGTTTTATGGAAATTCTAGAAATTAAGAGGTAGATAGCAGCAAAAATCAATTATATTTTTTCACAAAAAGAAAAATAATCCTGTTCGACTTCAGAAGCTTCTTTATCAAAAACTTTTTTTTGCACAACCCAGATATGCAAAAAAAAATGCCGCGTCTTCTTTGGCGTGGGATGACCCTCCCGCTATTTGGCGCTGCCGACGCGCAATGTTTCGTTTGGTTCCCTTTTCTGATTTGGATGTGACGATACCGGACACAGCCTGGCAGACAAGCTGCCCGACATTTCTAAGCTCGGGCAAAAATAGACCCTTTCCTAAATTCAGTGCCATCTGCAGGTGCCTCAAATAGGAGTTTGCCATTTACCACACTAATGGCGCTAATCAACAGGTCGTCTGTAGTATTCTGACGGGCACCATTACCTTTGCTGGTCAACAGCAGTCGAGAATGTGTGTTTTTACCTTACAATTCTTTCTGGATGTCTCAGTTTACATAGCGAGAAATATACAATCGTTAATTACGCGGCACCGGCTCATTGAAGCCATGATAAAATTTCATATATAAGGGGTTGTACAGACGATTGTGTGCCGCTAACAAATTGACGGGACACGATTTATAAAGGACCACTTACGTCGCTCTTGTATTTAATTCTTGCGTAGCATCGTATGCTAACGTCTCGAATATATAGGGCTTGCATCATCCGCATCGGAGCATCTCCAACTTCCTTTGTCATCAGTAACCACAAGGTCGCCATCAGTACGACACCTATGTGATTCCTCCGATGATGATATTGATCAATGCTGCCAGACTGAATTTCGGAAAGGGTCTGGGTCGAGCCACTATAAATAAGTTGCACTTAGAGTATCAGCACTACGTTTCTTGATATTGTTTTGGGCGCCGGTATCTTAGTGCTTGTGCAGAGCATACGCAGCTGCCGATCGTCATGATTCTAAAGTGCGACTTCCTCAGCGTTCGATTCGGTGTTAGTTAGCTCACGTAATATTGTCTTGCTCTGTCACGAACTGTTTAAACATTTATAGAGGACAAAAAAAAAAACGTGACCTGTAATTCCAGATAACGCTCCAGATAACTGGCAACCATGATTTTAAGCCCCGAGGTGGGTAAGTGTCCTTCTCTGGCGCGCAGCTTATTTAGTGGCACTAGGTCCGGGAAACGTGCAGGGAAATTACCGGCTCGCACTTGAAAACTGGCCACCCGAACGGCTTGAACTCGGCCGCTTTTGACCACGCGAACGCCCTTGCCGAATTTATGGCACACTATTTGCAGAAAAATGACCACCTGAATTCGGAACTAGAGGAGTTTTCGTTTTGGAGAAAATTAAGACTGCCTTTCCAAGACCGTTGGCAAAAAACCAGGACTGTTTTTTTTTTTTTTTTTTTTTTTTCTGGAGCCTCGTTTGAGGCCGCCCAAAACCGCCTGCCTTTTTATCACCTAGGAGGACGTATGGCTCAGTCATCACTGCCCGGTTCGTTCCGCACACGGAGCCGGCTGTCACGCAGGTAAAACCAACAAGGACCTGCTTTTTTTTTTTTTTTTTTTTTTTTTCTAAAGCCAGGGACAAACTATTTGCGGCATCTCCTGAAGAGAAGAAAGGAGAGTGCGCGGTGTTCACTTTTAAGTGGGAAACTCAATCACGCTCTCGCGTACCTTTGACTGCATCGTCACAGAAGGTCGAATCCGAGTGCGGAGGACATCGCAGCAATACTTGTGCCGCTGATTTTTTTTTTTCTGTTTATTTGATCGTGCTCTTTGATTACATTTTCTTTTACAAGGTAGAAAATCAGCGCAACAACGCAAGCTAGCCTCTTTGTGTGTGTGTGTTTTAATTTTTTTTAACAAATGCAAAACAAATTTAAGTAATATTCACGTACAAGCGAACGACGGCAGTGACTAAAATTCTGAATCAATGTGGTCTTTCGTTATTAGCGACTAGAAAAACAGCTGTCCAGTTAAAACTGTTACTCTGTTTATAAAAAAAGATCAGAAATCAACCAGGAACTATATCAAAAAGAAGTGTATAAGCAATCGTGTACGACTAAATCGTAATAAAATTATTCAGCCCTTGTAGAGTATATAGATTTAAACTTTTTTTTTTTTTTTTTTAGTTGACGCCATTGATGAGTGGAATAGGCTTTCGGAGTGCGTTGTTAACTCATTTAACATGTGCCACGTGGAATCTTCATTAAAACGTTGTTTGTTTGGTGTTTTTTTTTTGAATAAAAAAAAAAGTGTCGCTAAAGGTTGTGTGTACTATATCACGGTACTAAGTTTCGAATATTAGGTTCTTATACGTGCAAATTTGAGCTGAAATTGTATTATGCGTTTCTTTTGTTGAGTTCCCGTGCTTTTCAGAGGTGACAATTTTGTGCACTTTTTTAGTTACATTTTGTTTCCTACAAGTTTGGTCAAGAAGAAAATAGGTGGCGCTATGGAGAATTTGGCAGCCTTGAAATGGCGCCGGCTACTTCCAAGTTTGGTGCAATGCTGTAAGCATTTATTAATTTCCCCTGCAATGGTCGTCGAGAGAATGCCGACAATATTGATCAAAAACTCCGATAAACTAAAAAAAAATCCCGCTACTACTCTAGCTGGTAAGCTTTAACTGTACTCCGTTCCCAGCGGACGGAACGAATCATCTTAGCCAATGCAGTGCTGTGAACCCTTCACGTGACCACTACTCATTTAGCACATGGCTGCGCCCCTATCGAAGGTCACCTGGTATTCACTCGGTATTTTATTGGGTTCAGTGCCCCGTAGCGTCCTTCGCGGTCAATAAAAAAAGAAAGTCAAATTGGACGTTTAGTGATTTATACAGCGTAAGGTCGGTCTGCCAGAATGAGGCGACATTGGTTTACACTCAATCGCATAGTGAAAGGGCATTGGCAACGTGCAATGTTGTTTGGTTTGGCGCTATCTTTAGCGACTGAAGGAGGAAATATTGGGCGTGCCTCGAAGTGGCGGCTGCATTGTTCAAACGTGAGCTGTTACTGTGGTGACGTCGCTTAGCCTAGTGTCCGACGCAAGAAATGCTGGGTAAGCCAGGAAGCCGTGGGCTGACAGCCTGCCAGTACGGCGGAAGCTACGGCCCCTGCGGGCCAATGGAAACAACGGAGCGAGGCACGTGACTTTGCGTATCACCGGAGTGCGCTTTTACTTCGAAGAAGTGTCAGGCTTTCCGCTGCGTCATGCTCCGATGTGTGCGTGTTGCGCTCGCATACATAGCGCATATCGAAGCCGCGGGAACGCAGTCTAGGGCGTAGCGTTCACCCTTTGCCGATTTCCAACGAGAGAGGGTAGAGCCAGCCGGCAACAGTCAGGTGGCGCCAGGTTATACCCTGTCTCTTTGTAACTTAGCAAAGGGTGCACGATAAGCCCCAAATTGCGTGCCGATGGCTCCGATATGCGCTGCGTATATCAGCGCAACGCACACACATTGGAACATGACGCAGCGAAAAACCTGATATATCTTCGCAGTTGAAGCGCACCCCGGTGATACGCAGTCACGTTCTGATTGGCCCGCCAAGGCCGTAGCTTCCACCGTTCTGGCATGTTACGCGATCACGGCTTCCTGGTCTACCCAGTATTTCTTGCTTCAGACACCACGCTAAGCGGCCGCACCAGAGTAATAGCTTACGGTTGGGCCAAGCAGCCGCCACTGCTATATGCATACCCAATGTTTCTTGTTTCTGTCGCGAGATAGCGCCAAACAAAACAGCATTGCAGGGTGCTTATAACTTTGGGCTCTCACTCTGCCGGCGCCTCCTGTCCGTTGCCACCTGCGGCAATAAAGGGAGGAATTTCGAGGCCTCGCCTGTTTTCTCGACTGCGGCCGGGGCCATATCTGATAACATCAACCCTTGTAACACGGTTACGAAAGCATCCAGGCTTCGGCGCGTCGCAATTACGTTGTACTATTTCAATGCAGCTGCTCTTTTTTCAAGCTCCGCTCGCCGCTGACGCGTGTTGCAGGGAGGCCAGATTTAGTCAAGCTATACCTTTTGCGGCACGCTGTACCCGCTGTCTCCAACAAATACTCAAAAACGTAAATAAAAAAAAAAAAAAAAAAAAAAAAAAAACTTTGAGCAGTTTTGCGGCAGAGGGTATACGGGCCCGTGCTCTCATGCAGTTATGGATGTGAAGCTGTGCACGCGCAATCCTCCTTTTTTCGGAGATACCTCAGAATGTTGTTCCACAGCATGCAGTCACCGAAGGCCTAAGAAACGGAGGGCGTGGCCTAATATATATAATACTGTTTCTAGTTTCATGGTTGGTTCTTTGGCGTTTATAGCGGCTGATTGACGCAACCTCATTGGCTGCTCGTCGGTAGTAAGATGCCAGGAACAGAACTACCTTTGCGTCTCTTCTGTTGTCACTGACTATACCTACTCCTTTATACAGAGCAATTGAAAAAGAAAAAGGACGTAAAAACGCCAAGCTCTGATTGGCTCGAATGGAAGAATAGTGGGTTGACCTAAACGCTAGCAGCCTCGAGATATACCCCCTATACTTCCAATCGAGCCAATCAGAGCTCGCCGGTCTGACGTCCCCGCAACCACTGCGCAAAAAGCAGACGAACTCGAGCTCTGCACTGAAGTTTCGTTCGATATGCCACACGACGGCCCTGTGTTTTGTTGACAGAAGTAAATGGCGACAACACTCGTTTGGTGGGGCTGCAGCTTACAAAGTGAATTTATGGGCACATTGAAAAAGGGATCCCCCCCCGCCCCCCCCCCCCCCCTTTCCTCCGATATTCTCCAAGATCTGAGACATCAGATTGAATTAAAGCTGGGAATTCAATGATTAAGGATCGGTTGGTTCGTGCGTGACAAGAAATAGGCTACCGTCGAGGACTACCATGACTTCGAACTTCCTTCGATATGTTCGGAGTGTGTTGCTCGTTTTATTAGTGACCTACCGTATACTTGAGGGCCAAGAACTAATTAAGTAGATATTATTATAAACATCTAAATAAATAAACCTAGATAAGTATACAGAAGCAGAATTTACGCTTGTAGTAAAAATAAAAAAAAATATATTTAGTGTTGGACAAACCCATACCTAATTTTAAAGATCAATATTTAGATAATTATGGCTCTACACAATTATTGTAGCCAGAAAACTCACCAGACATATATCCAAACACATATCAACTTTGAGATATTCATACAAGGCAAAATAAAAATGAGAATTGTAAAACTGATGGCGACAAAATGCTATGGTTATGACGCACAAGACACACATTCAGTACGATATACCATAGGGGGGATCGGTGACCGAGTGGACTATAGCGCACACCAGCTCGGAGCACGTGGAGCGAGAGTTCGCTCTGCTGAACCCAGGGACCCTGGGCTCAATCCCCACCCCTTCCCGTCTCGATCTGGATGAGCATAGTACCGGCGTGCTGTCGCGTGTCCCTATTGCGTGGAATAACTTGTAGTTGCGCTAGTTGGTGAATATTGGAAATCGTGGTGAGCGCCTGTATGTCTGATTTCTCTCTTGTGCCCGTTGTTTGTTTGTTTTTGCGCCTTGCACCATGATTTCCCACTATTCCGTGATGCACGGTAAAGACCCCAGGCTAGCGATTGTACAGCACTCACTAAATTTGTCATCTATAGCTGGGAGATAAGTCGCCCGTTGAGGCAGACAAAGTTCTAGACTGCATAAACATACACATACCCCAATTTCTTTATTTCATTTTTTTTTTACAGTTACGCGGACATAGCCCAAGAGGCTAAGGATTGTGATGCTCGAGGCAACAATGTGCAATACATATGACAAAAGGACCCGCATAACATTTAAGTTTTATTTCGTTCTTTCTGATATCTTATTTTGAGCGTCTTAAGGCCGTCTCTCTACGCGCTTCCATTTTGCCGCCTGGATTGCTGGAAACGGATCGCAGGTTGTGGCTTGGAGACCTCTGGTTCAAAATAGAGCTTAAAATCTGTTTGTTCCGTTTCAAAAAGCCTTGTAGAGGCGGACAGAAATATTAAATTTATGTTCAGAGTTCCTGTTCACACGCGTGGAAATATGCAGTTTCCGAAATAGCGAAGTTTATAGAACCTGTCTCTCGCTGTTCCACCGTCAGCGCCATCGCCCTATGTGACGTCACTAATGGGATTGCTGATGCACTGCCCATGCGATTCTCGGAAACTTACCGGTTCGTATCGGGTAGAGTCCGGTGAGCAGAGCAGCCCTGGAGGGGGTGCACAGATGCTGAGCGTAGTAGCTGTTCAAGATGACGCCGTCTGCCGCCAGGGCGTCCAGATTGGGCGTTGGGATCTGCGATGATCCGTGGAAGCTCACGTCGTTCCAGCCCTGCGTATAGTCGTTTCGTGACCCATAGTAAGTTTCAACCGACTGTAGACTGTTGCAGGTTAAGAAAAGCATGACAAGCCTGTCCCAAAAAGTTCCCCGCTAGCCATGATTGCTGGCTTCCTCCCCCGAACCTCCTCCTCTCTGCAGGCGTTTTCGCTGAAAAAGTAGAAATAGTGGAGCGCTTTGGGGGAGAACCTCGTCTCCTCTGTAACAGTCTATAGAAGTTTATTTGTCTCGGACCTGAAATAAACGATAAAGTTAATGCGATTTCTTTCTTCATTGCTGTAACGCAACAATACCATTGTCAATGATGAAAATGCTCGGGAGCTGGAATAGCACTCACAATAAACTTCAAGGACGGAAAAACTAAGAGAAAAATATAATCTGGTGTTATAAGATGAAATTGTATACGTTTGAAAAGTCAGAACTTTTATACATGACATTCCCACGTAAAAGTTATATGAAATGCGTGGATAGTTTTAAAGGCTTGTATGCTACTTAGTTCCAATACATTGAGCTTTCAAGATAGGGTCAGCAATATAGGTAGAGCCTTATAAGGACGGCGACAATTTACATGCGCTGCATGTTGCCATATGACCCGGATATGATTTATGGCAACCGCTCTTTGGGAGAAAAAATGACGAAGGGTTGTATACATACCAGGTCGTCTGCTAGAATCATCACGATATGTGGAGACTTCACTTTGGCAGCTTGCGATGAAAGCGGCAGCGCTGTCGCTAAAATCAGCAACGCTGCTGCAAATCCTTGTGTACCCATCACTGCACGGAAGATCGAGTGATCGGTGTGTTTTTCAGCACAACTGTTGTGTGTGTGCATTGTTTGTCCTGTTCGCGTATCTCTTCTGCTCCGTTTGTGTTTTCGAGCTGTCTCTGCATTACGATCAACGAAAATCAACTACCCCAGACCTCGACGTTACGGTAGCATTACGCTTCTGTTTCATCAGAAACTTGAACAGCAAACACAATCGCTCGCCGTCGACATGGATGGTACTGCTGAAAAGTGTATACACTGTAAGAAATCGGGAGTGTCGTCTTTCCATAAAAGCACTCGGAACGGCCAATCACTTCAATCTACGCAGGAAGCTCGGTGAATATGACGGGGCTGATACTATCATTACATCCACACGTCTGCGCTGTGGCAATGAACATGACGCTTCACCGCACTACCGCGTGTAATATTAATACACTTTTTCAACCACGGGGAAAAAAAAAAAAAAAAAACGCCGTTTTGTGCGCTACTTTTACCTCGAAATACGACGCTTACACAAAACAAATTTTCGGAAGCCTTTTCATCTCTAGTCTCCAATCTATATTGTATATATTGCCGCGCGCTTACCTGACCAAACATGCAGCGCACTCGTGGGCTAACGGTTATCGCGCTTGCCTTCCACATAACCGTCGGGGTTCGATACCTGGCCGCGGGTACACATTTTTGTTGACTCTGTATTGTGATGTTCTGGTAAATTCGAGAACCGTGCTGGCTTTTTCTATGTCAGAATGTTCTACGCGCCGGCCGATTGCGCCGGCCACGCGTGTACAAAGGGGCTCCGCCTGGCTAGCTGCGGTCAGTCTCGCCCCAGCGTTCGAACCTGCTGTTACGCCGACTTCGACGCCTGCGACGCTCTGTTGTTATCCTTTGTTTTCCTTTTGGGTTTTGAGCACAAATCCTCCACATTAAACGTTTGAGTTTCCTCAGTCATTCTTTGCTTCGTCACCTCATCATTCCTGCTGCTCAAACAATATTACTCGGGGAAAACAATCACACCATTAACTTTATTGAACAGTTATCGAATTTCACAAGAAACTGCAAAACGTATCACACTCGCCGCAGTGAAGCGTGGTACGTTACCCACGCTCGCACTCACTATAGAAATCAATCGCTGTCTTTCCCATTGCCATCTTTACCCAATTTTCTCGATCACTGGATTATATAGTGTAATTTTATTTTTTCAGTTATTACCGAACTTTACTTATGTTAGCTTTTTTATACATGTGTTTTTGCTGTATATTTAACAAATAATTTTTTTGTCGTGTTTACATTGCAGATACCATCACTGTTTTCCATAGTGTTTTATATATAACCATGTTAGTCTCTATTTTTTGCTAATTTTTGTTTGAGTGTGTGTGTGTGTGTGCACGGGGGGGGGGGGGGGGGGAAGACGAGACCAAGTAAAACAACATTTTTTGTGTGGCTTTCTACCTGCACCCTCGACATCTAGGAATATTTACTTCAGGGATGGGCAAAATAATGCAAATATGTATCGAAATACAAATACAAAATACTTCGTTAAAAATGCATTTAATTACAAATCTAATTATATTTCCAAAAAAAGCATTTAAGTACAAGATACAAATACAACCAAATGTATTTGGTCTCCTCCAAATACTTTCCCAAATACATTCCTCAAACTTTGCGTCAGCGACTTCAGGGCACCTGCAATGGGTTTCTGGGTATCACTCTAAAGAAAGTCTGTGCGTCTACTTTCCCGCACAAAAGTCGGAGAACCAATCAGCGCAACTTACTGAGGCAGCTCAGCGAATGACGATACCGAAACATCTGTTTGGACCAAAAAACGCTGACTGAGTTCTGACAATAAGCAATGCAAGCGTGACGTTTTGCATTGCTTAATGTAACAACTCAGATTACGTTTTCTGGTCTAAACATATGTTTCGGCATCGTCATTCGCTGAGCTACCTCCGTAAATTACGGTGATTGGCTCTCCGAGTGTTTCGCGGGAAGGTGGGCGCACGGGCCTTTTTTTAGAGTGTAGATGGCGGCGACTTGTTTGGATTTGCGAATAGGAAATCACTTAGGGGAAAGGGGGGGGGGGGGGGGGGGGGCTCTCTAAAAACTTACCCTTCGAGCTCCCACGAAGAAAAGTGCACTGCGACAAGCGCCCCACTCATCCGGACGAATCTCGTGGCAAGAGGCACTAGCACTGTTGCATGTCAGAAAACGTAAAAATCCTTTGCAAGATCAAAAAAAAAAAAAAAAAAAAAAAAAAGCGAAAAGCTTTCTCATCATTTCTAGACACCCAGTACTTCGAAGCCTCCAGCCTCCATGGCTTCGGTCATCGCGAATGTTTAATTGTGCTATTTGCTTTTCGTGTGCTGTGTGCGTGCGCGCGCGCGCGCGTATGTGTGTGTAGGAAAAAGAGCGGGAAGGGGGGGGGGGGGGGGGGGGGCATGGAGCTTGTTTTTGCGAGAATGGCTCGTCTCCGACTCCCTTTTGCACGAGGCGTTCGGTTCCGATCTCCCCGACGGTGCACAGACGGCGCCCTCAGGTCGGGGGTCGCGGGAAGGCATGCAGCAGCAGCAGGCTGGCAGTTCCTATACTCTGTTTCGTACTTAGCGTGCAACGCTGTCAGAGCTACTGGCGCGAGCGCGTGGCTTCATCTATGGATTTCTTTGCGCGAGAACGCGTGCAAATGATCAACGAGATCAAGCCTCACACTCGCGCCAGTAGCGTTGACAGCGTTGCACGCTAAGTATGAAACAGAGTATAGAGTACTATATAGCATATATAGACGCTTTGCAGCAGCTGTGCATGAGCGCCGCCATAACTGACCTTCAGTTTTTGTTGCCTCTTATTACGTTTACTTCACTTCATTATTACCATAGCAGGCTAGGTCATTGCCATCCTAGATTTTATTCTGTCTTTCTCCCCAGCATTGGCCTTTGTGGAGGCTCGTCCCCACCAAATTCAGTGGCTCGGTATCTCGGTAAAACAAGAGAAGGTCAGCAATGGCGGCTGTATTCTGGCGCGTGTGTAAAGCGTCTATAGCTCCTTCGGAGCAGAGTACCGTAGAGTAACTGTATAGGCTCTGCTTGCAGAGCCGCAAGCGGAGCATATACAGTTACTCTAGAGTACCGGAATCTACAACGCCGTCTCTCGGCGACTATCGGCGAACGCCCGGAGGTTCCAACTCCGGTCAGAAATGCATGGGGAACGTGAGAAAACCGTTGTTTCTTCAATGTTGTGGCGATGTACGGAACGACAATAGTTTTTAACATAATAAAGGAACATTTTAAAATAATTTCCGCCGAGTTGTGTGCCAAGTGAGGACGTAATTTTTGTAAAATATTTCACGAGCGGCATCATGCAGCAGACGACGCGTCAACGTCATGGCGACGTCACAGCGTTCACGTGACCCACTCCGGCCAACCCAGAAAGTCGATCTTCCCTGCGCACAAAAATCGTCTGCTTCAAACGCCATTGCCTCGGAAATTGCGTTCTCAAAATTTTCACACGCATCCAATATTATGAAAACTTTGATAAAGTGTTTATTGCTTTACCAACTTCCCGACAGACTAATTTCGAAAAGTGTCAACTCGGCGCTTATTTTTAATCAGCCGTGTTGAATCGATCTCCATGTATTCTCCCATAGGCCAAGCCGCTTCCTGGAACCCTGAGTACCACGTGACTCGCGCCGAGCTGCTCTGTCGGCCATGTTGTCGGCTACAGTGTACTACACTGATCTCTATGTCTGTGTACTAGAATACTGGGGTGGTGTTGGGACCGGAGCGGCTCGGCAACGGGAGCTCGTGAGGGCGCGTGTATTGATTGAAAGTTCGAGGCGGCGCTGTAGTCGAGTTATCCAAAAAAAAAAAATCGCGCAGCCCGCCTTTTTTTTTTTTTTTTTTGCTTTGAGCGAAGCACGTGTCGGTACCCCGATTTTATACACTCCGTTTCGCCTTATGTTGTACCGCAGCGAAGGCTAAAAGCGCGAGCTTACAGCGTTGGCAGCTGCCCTTGGTGCACGAGAGCTTGTGCCGCCGAGATGTGCCCCAGAGCAAGGAGCTCGCGCTTGTAGCCTTTCCTGCGGTACAACACAAGGTGAAACAGAGTATAGGGCACTTAAAAAAAAACATCGTCAATCCCCACCCCTGCCCGTTTCGATCTGGAAGAGCATCGTACCGGCGTGCGGTCGTGTATCACTACTGCGTGGTTGTACTGCACTGGCTAAATTGCTCATCTACAGCTGGGAGACTCGTCGCCTATTGAGCTAGACCAAGTTCTAGGCTGTATAAACCTACACACAACCCAATTAAAAAAAAAAAAAAGTCTGTATTTTTTAATATTTTTTTTTTTGTAATTTTCGCGGTAGGCAAAGGGTTAATGAACGTTTTAATGGGCCATGTTGCAATTGCAGCTTTGAAGGGAGCAATTATTAAAGGCCAACCCAATTTAGAAAGTTTTGAAACAAACAACGAGCTTTGAGCGAATAATAATTGGGTTGTGGGGATATTTATACAGCGTGTAGTTGGTCTGCAATTGAAGTTGCGACGAGTCACACGCTGTAGATGAGCAATGTAGCCAGTGCAGTACAACCGCTAGCCTGGGGTCTTTAACGTGCACCACGCAGTAGTGATACACGACCGCACGCCGGTACGATGCTCATCCAGATCGAAACGGGCAGGGGTGGGGCTCGAACCCAGGATCCCTGGGTTCTGCAGCGCGAGCTTTCGCTCCACGCGCGTCGAGCTGGGTGTGCGCTTCAGCCCACTCGGCCACCGATCCCCCCTAGCTTTGAGAGAAAGGAACAAGGCGCTCGTTTTTGTTGCGTTTGTCCGTCCCTTCTCGTTTTCTTCCTCAAGCTTAATTATCTCTACCAACCCGCTCGTTCTGTCCTGAGATATTCACCGCTAAAATTCTGTCGTTCTTTGCTCAATTAAAAAACCGCGCGCTGAAAGCGCAAATGAGGTTGTGCTGATATTGATGCGTAGAAGAATGA